AGCTTATGTGGGAGGAAAGCCCGAAGTGATGCAGGTCTCAGACGTTTACCACTTCGGTGAAACCCACGAGCACGGGTATTGTGCTGACAAACCTAGAAACATAATCGGGGCGAACCGGGATTCGAACCCATAATCATAGGTTTCTGGCGTACCCAAGGGACGCAACTCTGCACAGCGAATCGCGGAGCCTCAGACGACTGGGCCACCCGTGCCCCCTCGTTTCATTTTATATTTCCCCAAGTATAGGAGAACGGAAACATGCCGGCCATTTCTCAACCCCGGAGGTGAGAGTGTTAAGACTAAACGTCGAATAGCTTAATAATATCTTCGATCAGAATTCTGAGAGCAGATATTAACGACGGACTAATAATTAACGTATTAAAAGTCAGGCCCAAGCATGAGGACCACCTCCGTGGTCTAGTGGTAGAGCGTCCGCCGGGAGAGCGGAATGTCCAGGGTTCGATCCCCGGCCGCGTCATACCAAAGGACGTTTAAAGATCAGTCCGGGCTAGTACAAGCAGCCACACAAACACACACACACACGACATGCACGTCGCCATATTGGTGCAATAATCTTGGACGCGACGTTAAACCCCATTTCACCTCACCTCACCCAAGCAAGACAATACAAATGTTACTCCAATAACTTTGATTTTCGAGGACATTGCACCTTCTAGGTACGTTTACAACCGTCTAGTAAGCTGTAATTTGGATACAGTGGCCCTGCATATATGCTCTTCCACATACAATCCTTGTCATAGGATGGATCAGCAACTGAAATTATAATAAAAAATGGTAGACTGTAGCGCATCTGTTTGTTCCTGGAATGCTTTATCAGATAAGAAAAGCCTTCCAATAGCAAACCAGAATTAGCAATAAAAATGTCATATTTTTGTTAAATAACAGAGACAAATCCTCACAGCATTTTCATAACATTTCAAAATGATACTTTCACAAGTGGTTATGCAGGGGTTGATCATGAAAACTGTGACACTACTGGCAGCCATTCCAGTATATATAGGTCAAATGTTGAAGTTGCGCCAAATATCGCAATATGGCATGTGATGTGCATACAACACATCTGTATGTGACACGAGCAATGGGCAAACAAATACTATCCTCAATATTGCTGACATGGAGATGATGTTGTTTTCACCTTTGCATATGATTTCACACCACGCTCATCCATATTCCAGTGGACCGCCTCCGTGGTCTTGTGGTAGAGCGTCCGCCCGGAGAGCGGAAGGTCCGGGTTCGATCCCGGGCCGCGTCATACAAAAAGACGTTAAAAGATTGTACTTGTTGTTACCCTGTCTGGCGCTCGGCATTAAGGGGCTAAAACAAGGACTGGTCGGCTCGGAGTCAGTATACTGTGTCTGAGTGGGGTATTCATGTTAAACTGCGGCATGGTATCTCAGTGAGCTAGCACTATAAATCGGCATCAGTCCGGACTAGTACAAGCAGCCACACACACACATACACGTGCATGCACGTCGCTATATAAGTGCAATAATCTTGGACGCGACGTTAAACCCAATTTCACCTCACCTCACATATTCCAGTGGACCGCCTCTGTGGTCTAGTGGTAGAGCATCCGCCCGGAGAGAGGCAGGTCCGGGGTTCGATCCCCGACCGCGTCATACCAAAAGGCGTTAAAAGATGGTACTTGTTGTTACCCTGTCTGGCGCTCGGCATTAAAGGGCTAAAACAAGGACTGGTCGGCTCGGAGCCAGTATACTGTGTCTGAGTGGGGTATTCATGTTAAACTGCGGCATGGTATCTCAGTGAGCTAGCACTATAAATCGGCATCAGTCTGGACTAGTACAAGCAGCCAAACACACACACACACACACACACACACACGTGCATGCACGTGGCTATATAAGTGCAATAATCTTGGACGTGACGTTAAACCCATCTTCACCTCACATATGCCAGTGATGTACCGTCCGCTTGCACATTAACAAGTATGGACCAGACAAACCAGAGAGTGACATTATGAGAAACGTCGGGTATGAAGACACCCATAAACCAGGTCAACGAATCTGGCTATCAGATTAACTTAGTTGCATGTTATTATATATAAACATGGGTTGCTTGGGGCTAGTCTTACCTGGTATCCCCATATGGCTAACCCACTGTCGCAATGGATACATCACTCTAGGCACATAAGACCGCCTCCGTGGTCTAGTGGTAGAGCGTCCACCCGGAGAGCGGAAGGTCCTGGGTTCGATCCCCAGCCGCGTCATATACCAAAAGACGTTAAAAGATGGTACTTGTTGTAACCCTGTCTGGCGCTCGGCATTAATGGGCTAAAACAAGGACTGGTCGGCTCGGAGTCGGTATACTGTTTCTGAGTGGGGTATTCATGTTAAACTGCGACATGGTATCTCAGTGAGCTAGCACTATAAATCGGCATCAGTCTGGACTAGTACAAGCAGCCACACACACACACACACACACACACACACACACACACACACACACACGTACATGCACGTCGCTATATAAGTGCAATAATCTTGGACGCGACACTAAACCCAATTTCCCCTCACATCACCTAGACACATTAAGCTGACTTTGACCCTACAAGTCTTTGTTGTATCCCTTATACCACAGCAAGCAGATCGAACCCCCGACCTTATTCTCTCCACACAGACTCTCTACCCACTACACTAGAGGAGCGGTTAGTTAGTGTAAAGAATATATACTTACAGTGGACACATGCAAATCGGCACTTTACTAACATATATCCTGCGTTCCTTTCGCATTCGCCCCATCTTGCCCATGGCTGACACTTTATGAGCTCTGTGAAAGAAGATGGCAGGTTAAAGATCCGAGCTTCATGCTTGGTTATCTATCGTATGTGCGCTTTTATGACGTCTGGCTGGTTCGTTGGTTGGTTTATGGTTCAACGCCGCACACAGCAATATTCCAGCTATATGAGTGAGTGAGTGAATATGGTTTTACGCCGCTTTTAGCAATATTCCAGCAATATCACGGCGGGGGACACCAGAAATGGGCTTCACACATTGTACCCATGTCGGGAATCGAACCCGGGTCTTCGGCGTGACGAGCGAACGCTTTAACCACTAGGCTACCCGACCGCCCCTCCAGCTATATGACTGCGGTCTGTAAATAATCGAGTCTGGACCAGACACTCCAGTGAATGATATCATTAGCATCGATCCACGCAAATTCGGATAAAACCGAAAACGAATCACGGTTTACATGGTTGCTTTATGATTATATTTCTTTAATACATAGGGATTTAAACTCGCGATTTGAATTTGCGCTAACAGTAAAGAGCCTCCACACTCCAAAATCCAAATATTTTTTTTAGAACGACACAAACCGGAAGCAACCAGGTCACTCGTTTTACTCATCAACTCGATATTCCGACGTAACTGAAAACTACCAAAGTGTAAGACATATTAGTTTCTGTTAATAGTTGTATGACAATAATGAACGAATGTAGAATGTAGCTGTGTTGACCAGCGAAATTGCAAAGATGACGTTTTTGGATCAGTTGGTAGTAATAACGCCACGATTTGTCAAACATGCATTCACACGACGATTCCCAATGGCGATTTGAAGGACCCGGGTCCACTCCTCTTGCAGCACCCGGCCAAGTTAAGCCAACGTACGTGTGGTCGGTGGCCTATGAGGTTGACGCACTCATCTCCCTTCCATGACCCAGCTGGGGGCACGGGTGGCCCTGTCGTCTGAGGCTCCGCGATTCGCTGTGCAGAGTTGCGTCCCTTGAGCACGCCAGAAACCTATGATTGTTGGTTGGAATCCCGGTTCGCCGCGATAATGTTTCTAGGTTTGTCAGCACCATACCCGTGCTCGTGGGTTTCACCGAAGTGGTAAACGTCTGAGGCCTGCATCACTTCGGGCTTTCCTCCCACATTAAGCTGACACGCCGCGATATAACTGGAATACTGTTAAAAGCGGCGTTAAACCCAACTCACTCACCCATCACGTCCCAGCTTGGTTTCGGATCAATCGATCCCCGACACTTGTCGTTGTCCTGGGACGCAAGAAAAGGCGCGATCCCTAACCTTTTGGGTTTTTTGCTACCTGATGCATAGTCTGCTAATCACAGACTCTGAAACAATGAACGTATTGGCCACTGTACACTGACGTCTGCCAGCTTGCTTTCAGCCGGAAGACTCTGCGCAAAGAAGTTGCTGACGCCGCCATCCCTAGTTCATACACAAACAATGAATGAAATCAAGTAAATCACAAGTATGTGATAAGAATCAATAGATTGACAGAAAGATTGGTCCACAGAGATTACTCGAATTTCCTTGAAAGTGTCAAAATATGGAAGGTCACCCAAAGCACTGCGTGAGCCACTTGCGAACTATAGGATTTGCTTTGGTGTTACGTTTTACAGACATAAACATACTTGGGTCGCTCGATTCACACAATACTTGATATGAACATTTATATTTCATGATCCTCTACCTTGTTTTAAAGAGTATATTTTAATCCCCTGTAGAAACTATACACATAATCGCATAACACACACACACACACACACACACACACACACACACACACACACACACACACACATTTTGAAAATGAAAATGAAACTGAAAATGTCCAAAAATGAGGTGAACTATTTTATCATACCGCATTTAAGATCTAATGCTTTTTGAAAATGAGGCTTCGAGGAAGAAGAACTGTGTGAAACATTATTTCAGTCATGAATTCTATCAATTTCAATGGAAATCCATTTTTAGTGAATATATGATTCCGTTTTTCTAATATTATACATGTTCGTACCTGTAGAGCACCATGCTGTCTCTGATGGCCCGATCGCATCCCCCGCTTGTTCGAATTCGTCCCAAATCAGACACTCACACTGCATTGAGATCGTGCCTAGGTAAGAACACAGTCTCCCAAGGAAAGGATTTATAAGTATATATGCACACATTTCAAGGCATTGAAATGAGCTTTTAACCTTAAATGGTCTAACTTTTGGCGCAGTTATGTGACTTGGACGAGCGTGTGCTCTTTTAAAAGTTAATTCATAGATTTTCGAATCACATGCCACCAAGAAGGTCAAGAAAATCATTGACATGGAAATTGTCTTCATCCCAGATGACATTTTCACCTGCAAAGAAGAGAGCAAAATGTATTATATGCATAGAAGATCATGAAATACTTCAGTTACCAATTTATAACCCCAAATATCGAAGGATCTCGTTACTTCTTCTTTTCTTCTATTTTTTATTAAAAGTGTTATCAATCTACATTTTCAATCGGAAATAACAGAGGAAGAGAGATAAGCGATTGGAAAGCTGATGTTTGGTTTTAATGACCCACCATAGTTTTCATACATTATACTCACGTTGGAAATTCAACCTTTGGCGTTCAGACCCAACGCTTCTTTACAATGACATGAAATGTATGCGTTTTTGCGTCATAGAATTAGTGTTAATATGTTATGTAAAAAGTTTAATGAGCTAGCATTAAGTTAATGATTGTTCTAAATAGCTGAATGATGTGTTTAGTAACATGATGCAGTACTGGCAAATGTGTTGTTTGAAACCAGGGCATCGTTCCACAAAGCCATCGTAGCGCTTTTTGCCCTTTGTGCCCAAATGGAATCTATTTCGATGGGTAATCAAGACTGGTTATTTTATTGCATTGACGCTTTGTATTTACTTGAACTGGATCCATGGATCTACTTGTGGACTGAAATCCCCTTGTGTCATCGTAAGCTCATCAGCCCTATGCTGAGTCTACAACAACAAAGATGTTTTGGCCATCCCTCATTTTCAGTTATCCATTCATATAATGTTCACAGCTAGTTTTCTCTTTATGCCAACTGGAATCTGTTTCGGCGGATAATCGAGGTTGGTTATTCCCTTGCATTGGCGTTTTATATTTATGACAGTTGAGAATTATTATCGCTTTGTGGAACGGGGCTCTGATATAGGATTTCCTATGATGTTAAAATGGACGATATAAACTTCCCCAAATTCACTCTCAACTGGGTGGCCCAGTCGTCTAAGGCGCCGCGATTCGCTGTGCAGAGCTGCGTCCCTTGGGCACGCCAGAAACCTATGATTGTGGGTTCGAATCCTGGTTCGCCCCGATTATGTTTCTAGGTTTGTCAGCACCATACCCGTGCTCGTGGGTTTCACCGAAGTGGTAAACGTCTGAGACCTGCATCACTTCGGGCTTTCCTCCCACATTAAGCTGACACGCCGTGATACAACTTAAATACTGTTAAACGCGGCATAAAACCCTACTCACTCACTCACTCATTCATTTTATGCCAACTAGAATCTGTTTCGGTGGATAATCGAGATTGGTTATTCCCTTGCATTGGCGTTTTATATTTACGACAGTTGAGTGTTATTATCGCTTTGTGGAACGGGGCTCTGAGATAGGACTTCCTATGATGTTAAAATCGACGATATAAAATTATATCTCTCAAGAGTTTCTCCAAATATTACGTTGTACAAAAAGATGAGGTGAGGTGAAATTGGGTTTAACGTCGCATCCAAGATTATTCGACTTATATAGCGACGTGCATGCATGTGTGTGTGTTTGTGTGTGGCTTGTATTAGTTCGGCCTGATGCCGATTTATAGTGCTACCACACTGACATACCATGCCGCAGTTTGACATGAATACCCCACTCAGACAAAGTATACTGACTCCGAGCCGACCAGTCCTTGTTTTAGCCCCTTAATGCCAAGCGCCAGACAGGGTTACAACAAGTACCATCTTTTAACGTCTTTTGGTATTACGCGGCCGGGGATCGAACCGCTCTCCGGGCGGACGCTCTACCATTAGACCAGGGAGGCGGCACTATTGTCCATGGAAGGGTCACTGGTCAGTGCTACGAGGCAACGTACTGGCACCAATAGTTTGTGCGCTATGTTGTTCCACGTTTTGTCTCTCTAGATGATAACGCTGGTGCCCATCGGGCATATAGCGTAGGTTATAAACTCCAGCAGCAAAACATCACATTGTTATTTTTTTATGTTGATATGTTTTGTGTTACATTGTCAGGAATGTAGTACTATTTAACGTAAGCAGTGGTGAGGGAGTTACTATATTTAGATGCCAGTGCGATATGTAAACTTCCGGAATACCGCTAGAGCGTTATAGAAACACATTGAAAATCACGTATACCTATGGTTGATTTCAGCTTACCTGGTTGAGGAAAGAAAATTGGACGATGATGCTTTGGCTTTGATCGAAGAAAGGCCTGATGCTTTGTCTTCAATGATATTAGAATTTGAAAGAGCGAGATAATTTCGGCTAAATAAAATTGAAGCTGAAAAGAATAAAAAGAATAAAAAATGAGAATTAAAGCCAATAAAAATATTAGGCTAAACAACTTGAATTACAGAATGGTCTCTCTCATCGTACCTCAAAAGGTAATGGATCGTTTGGTCTTTCCAAGCAGATTAGACTTTCACTGAAGGTGATGTGAAAAGGTGACTGACAGTTTGAAATGGCCTCAGGATCTTTGGACCATATTGTTGCAAAGGGTGTTAAGGAGAAAAGCTGAGGAAGTTTATTTTGTCTTACCTATTGATAGGATTTCTGATTATCAGGTTGTTAAGACTGGAGTTTGGAAGGCTTATTAATTGGTTCCTGAAGCCTACAGGTAAAAGTTTACGTCTGCTAAGAAAATGGATGGTTATACTTTTTGCAAGGAAGTTTGCAAGAGAGAAGTAAACTCTGTTTGATAGGCGGTGTGCCCTCAAAGGAGGTCAGTGGTGATTTTGATAGTTTGAGGCCGTTGGTTTTGCTTGAGGATTTTAAGCAATGTTTGTCAACAGACAGTCAGACATATCTTCATGAGCAGAAAATGGATCAGTTAAACAAGACTCCTACTCTTGCTGATGATGATTCGCTAACACACAGGGTTTAATTTTAAGCAATCAGGGTTTACAGGAATTGCTAAAGAGTCTTCTGGCTCTATGATTTATCCTGAAATGCAAGGAACAAATGCTTGGGTGGAGGGATATTGGGGAAGTAATAAGGCATTCTTAATAATTGATTATGGGGCAGTTTCCTTATTCTGCTATTATCAGGAACAATGCATGAGAACTCTTTCGTAGTCATCTTATGTCTTCATTATCACAGTCAATGACACTCGCCGACAGTTCAAATGTATTATTTCGGTAGCTGTTTAAAAAATGACTCAACAGAAACATTGCAGTTCAAACTCGAATTCCTAGGCAGAAGAAGTCCCGTTTACCTCATGTGTGTTGTAAAACAGAGTAAAACGGAATACCGGATGGTCAGGCTCGGTGACTCAGTTGACTACGTACGGTACTGTAAAATCTTACAACAGTAAAACGGATATTTTTGGAGAGAAGACAATATCCAAGACAAGATGAGCTTGTCAGTGTTGCTAACGGACAATATGTCATTAGCCATGTGACATAACCTACCTTTTACGTATTGAAACTGATCAGTTTTCACTCTAAACGAATACCGCATCCACAGCTGTCTGAAACATCGATGTGAATATATGTAGGCTTAACTGTCTTGAAATGATAAAGGCATTCCTGAAAGGTTAAATATCCAATGAAACCATAAACAGCCCCTGAGGTCAAGTATTTCTGCTAACATTTTCGCAAATCAATAATTCAACGGATATCAAAGATGATAGTAAAGCAACCTTAGTAGTATAAGTCATGGGGGTTCTACCGCAACTCCACTGGAGCCAGATTTATATACCTATACCACCACTACAGGGGGAATTTTTTATGCAAAAATGAGGTTGCGATTCAACGATCGTAATAAGTCGTATTAAAAGAAACATCAATATTAATTAATAATGGATACAATTTACTATAGCCCAAGAGGATATTGGAAAGGTATAGGAGCAATAAAAAAATTAGCCACCGCGGCTAAGGTATCTAAAGATGTGGCCACGGATTGGTTAAAGATACAAGCGATGTGGCAAATATATTTACCGGCACCACGTTATATACCAAGGAAGAGGTTTGATATTTTTACAAAAAAATGAAGTTCACCGGGCTGACCTCTTGTTTCTTCCCCATGATAAGGTAAGACGCAAAATGTATAAATACGCTTTAACTGTAGGGGATGTGGCTAGTCGCTACAAAGAGGCTGAGCCATTAACCTCGAAGGATTTAACAGAAGTAGCTAATGCACTGAGCCGCATATATAATTGCAGACCACTAAGCTATTTCAACAAGATTAATCGGGAAGAAACCAAGTGAAATATGTGACTTCTGAATCTTCAGCACCGAGGAGAGGCAAAGAACAAATACTTCCGGATAGAGTAAGCGTAAGATATTTATACCAGCCTGGTGAACTCGAGGAGGCCTACGTTGTGCAACCGATCTGATTTGGTCCCTTAAGACATATAACATTAGTCAATTGGTTATGAAAGAAGGAGAGCCTATTCTTTATTATCTTAAAGATGGACCGGGCAGGGCATTTGTACGAGAAGAGTTGCTCATAGTTCCCAACAATACAGTATTACTGCCCTAAATAACCATAAGCGTAGGTAGTTACACCATCCTTATCAATCCATCTCTTTGTATCTAAAGGTGATAATGATGCCTTGTTCATTCTTAATCCATATATCCTATGATTGTAACTTCTTAAAGAGTTCATCTCGTGTTTGAACGTTCTACCCTTGAATAATGATTCTTTATACTGTTCGTGTTTGATATGCTTTTTTACCACATACTTCTTAACACCCTTTGCTTTTCTTATCTCTCCATTATCGGACTTCTTTATAGAATACATCTTAGGCCTTAATCCGTGTCAGTATATTACACCTCGCATCTATCGCCATATTGCTTCTGAAGTTCGTTGTAATAAAAGTCATACATTAAGTGTTTTGACAAGTCGAGAATACTCATACCAACTTACACCGGACCGTTGAATTTTATATTACTCTTCTGCATATGCAACGCGCCTAAGTAGTTATCGAATATCTTGCTTCTGTTAAAAGCCGGACTTGCTATAAGTTTCATGAGTCTTTCTTCCTCATCAGACCTGACTAATTTAACATCAACAGGCTTCCTTAGATTCTCCATAGTTTTACCAAATACTGAGTTATTCATGAGCTTATATAGGTTCTTTTCAAAATAGCTGGTAATCTGAGGGGATATCATCCACTTCAATATCATCGACCCACTCAAAACCACCAGTGGGTTGACTCATAGCCTATCCATACAAATTGTTGGTGTCAAGACATAATATATGCGTGTTGGGTTTACTCGGATCATATCCTTCCACTAATTTATTATTAGCCTTAGAATACCTTTTTCGCTACCGTTGATATACCACCTCTTAATTCTTTCTCAATAAACAGGTGCATATCATAATCGGTGAGTAATTTTAATTCTATGCCGGTCTTCTTCAACAATGCATCCCACGATAGTCTGGGACTGGAATCCATATTGTTTTAAACATGTCTGTCTAAATATCTCGAATATATCGGCGAGTAACAGTACATCGGTTTTTAAGTACAGATCATGATAATCGCCTAAATTCTTACAACCTAATTTATCCCGGCATCATAATCGGCATCGGTTATTTTCGATTCTGTTAAGTTACTGTAGAATGATTCAAGGGTTGGTAATTTAGTTTCGTCTAATCTAGACAAATCATCCATATATTCGTAAGAATATACACCTTTTCTCGGCAAATGACGTGTTAACCTATCAGTATATTGATTTGTTATTGCAAAGTCATCGGGATTGTTCCCATTGCTAAATTGTCCAGGGAAGATAACAGAAACTGTACGGAGTCTATGAATCTAAGTCCATTACTTTGATTTATTCTGGCTTTCCCATCCTTGTCCGTATAATGTATACGTTTAGTCAACGAGAACGATATATATTTTTCCATATTATTAGGAATGCACGTTAAGCCATCGTCTGTCTTTGAGATAGCTTGCATGATGAGATGAGAATCGTATCCTCTAAGGTTATGAAACACAACAGGGATGGGTATTGTTTGAGAATTCATTTTTAGTTTCCAGTTACACTCGTTATGCGCGGCTCCCCGATAATTACCCGTGACGTGTCAATGATCTCTTACGGAATCCCCATTCAGGGGTTTATTACAAACATGACAACTCTTTGACCTCTTATAGGCCCTCCAATCATCCCTCGTTATCCACATTGGTTTCTTATGCGATAAATTTTCCCTGATCATTCTCTCTTCAATTTGTAGATATTCTAGGAACTTTCCAGCTGCATCGGGACCACTGTAAATCACGGGTGGGTTTGTTTTCCTATCATACCTTACAACTATATATCCAAACCCACAAGGAATATGTTCTTGAGTTTTGTAAGTAAAACTATCCTGATTATATTGATTATCTTGATTATTTTCTATAGGTTTGATAAGCGCTTCGAAGTAAGCATAAATTACGTATGGTACTGGCATTTGATTACAATAATGTTCAAATTTTAATATATTTTCCCCCTCTTTAGGCATATCAATCCTGATAGCATTCTGTCCAACACCTCTGCAGTCTTCTTTATTCGCTTCTAATAGATCTTGTCTGCTGTACCCATGTAGGCATCTTTCACAGAAATATTTCTTTTCCTTATGTGTTGTTTGATCGTATAATAGCCTGCTTAAAATTTTTATCCACGTATAATGATACTTACCATATTTTTCAATTAGAAATGAATCGATTCTGGGAATATGTTCTGGAGCGGAGCTTATCCTGTGTACAACAATTCCTTTAGAAGAATGTCCAAAGACATTTATAGCTAAATTATTTTGCTTTTCAACCTTATCAATTTCTGAGATTGGTGTAGGTTCGTCTATACCATCAAAGTTAAGTCCATCGTTTTGGGGATAGTTCGAAGGTCTGTTTGCAATTTTAGAATCTACGGGGAACAATGCAGATCTTATCATCATTCTTAAACAGTCATCGGATTTATTTTTTAAATTAATTATGGCTTTTTTCTTTTTATAATACGGTGGTAAATCTATATAAGATCCACCTTTGAAGGGCATATAATTTGATATGTCTAACTATCGATTTTTTCCACACCCCAACCGGAACCTCTATTAGTCCAGCATTCTAAAGTTTCCTGTATCCTGTCATGGTGACTGATTTACGACACCCATTGTCTGAAGAACATTTGATTGCAAAGGCTCTTTACCCTGGAGCCATGACATCTATATGCCTTGAAACATTTAGTTGCTGTTATTTATAAGATGCTAATCCTGATTGTTAATCCCCAGTTTTGTGTACTTCGACCGTCTGCCATCCTGAACAGGATGTGCAAGTATGTCACTGATGATTTATTGTTTACATTTATATTTATTACTTACTAAATGTCAGGTGACCTTGGCTATATAAGCCTTGGTCCAGAATGAGAGAGAGAGGAGAGAAGGAGAAAAGAGAGATAGAGAAAAGAAAGGTCTACCCTTAGCCTAGCTAGGGTTAGGCTGGGTGCTCTGGGGCACCTAGACAACAACCACTACCACTATGTGCTGACCTGGCACATAGTGTCTTTTGTATGTATATATCGACATGTATAAAGTAAAACTGTATATACCGCAAGCCATCGTCTCCAAGTTGTCACTTCCTACAGGAACCATACGTCGGCCCCTTGCATATACGAGTATGCAAATTGTTCATTAATCAACGTCACAGACCGCCATGCGTTGTTAATTTGGTGGAGCTATCGGATATGACAGACTTCTTAGTCTGTCCTTTCCTGTACCTCTTTGCAGCATGGCATATGGTTCACAATACTGTAGGAAGTGACAGTCTCTTATTGAAAGGATATACTACCTTCCTGAAGGCCAATCGCCAAGAACAAAGAAAAGGCCTCTAACAAGATTGAAGAAAGAACAAAAACCTCTCCGATCAAGAACAAGTTCTCCGGTCCCTGCTCGAATATCTTAGCAACACTGCTAAGACTTCCCCTTCAAGATGTCGTTCCTGCACACGACCCTAGAAAAGAAGTATACACGCCTATCCCACAGAGACCCATCCACAGCCATCTTCATGCAGAACCTGCACAATACAGAAACCGCCTCACGGGCACCTACAAGATGGACACTGTGTACAAGATATCTCATTGGGACTTACTAATTTGTGTTTACTTACATGGACTCAATCAAGGATATATATTGTGTGACTGTTGAATAGTGCAACCAGGTATGTTTAATCAAAGCCAGTATATTAATGCCAAAATGTGTCTTTCAAAAATTCAGTTTTATATATGTGCAATATACTCCAAATTACATCTTTAGTCAAGCTAGATCTTTGAAGTTATTGTGTAGGGAATCTTTGAAATGTCTCCAGGCCACGCCAGACATATAGATACAGCTAGGGCCCAGACAAACCTAAGCTGTAGGGTTATCGAGTCACACCTTAAAGCTCGACTAGTAATTTCAAAAATCTAAACGACAAAATTTGTCATTTATTACAAGTAATTAATGTGCACAGTTTGGTACAAAATTGAATGTATTGTCTAGGACTTTGAATTCAGATTAGGGATATTCTTGGGTGAGCCACCCC